TTTTTCTGTTATTTAGTTATTTAGATAGTTTATTATAAAATTACTTATTTAGTTACTATTTATTTGTGTATATAATATTTATGTTATCATTTATTTATTTATATATATATTTTTTCTGCCTTGGACAATCCTTATTAGAACAATATGCCACTTTTGTCGCCCTTATATTTCATTCATTTAAGATTACTTACGAGTCAAACTTTGGGAAGCAGGTTCGACTAGCTTCGCTATAGCTATTTCTGCTTCCCAACCATATTATTCATATTTACGTAGACTTTTATTTATTTATTTATTTATTTATTTATTTATTTATTTATTTATTTATTTATTTATTTATTTATTTATTTATTTATTTATTTATTTATTTATTTATTTATTTATTTATTTATTTATTTACTTCTACTGTAACTATTTTCACTTTGTATAATATGGGAAATAAATAAAAACAACTTTAAAAAAATCTCAAATAAATAAAAAAAGATGTGCACTCAATATGTATGGCGCTGATATTGAAAAACAATTACTGCTATTTCAGGATTTTAGACAGTTCGATAATTTGGATAAAATCACGAAATAACACAAGTACTGAATAGGGAAATATATAAGTGAGGAATCATCATGGACATGAATGCAAATAAAATACCCCTAAATCGGCCTTTTTTATCGAACCTTGAAAATGTCGTACACTTGTAACTCAATATGCATAATCCTGATACAAAAAAAAGTTCGAATGAAATCAGCCTGTTCATTTCCGAGAAATGTGATTTTAGGATTTTTAACAAAATAACAAACAAATCTACAAAATTGATCAAATCACAAAATAACACAAGATACGCTATTACCCATGGGAATAGTGCTTATGTGCACAATTTCAGCTGAGATGTTAAACATGGACGTGAATAAAAACAAAACACCCGCTAGTCGACCATTTTTGTTCGAATCTCAAAAAATATATTACGTGCACCTGTAACCCATGAACGTTATATAAAATTTGAATACAGCCGCCTGTTCATCTTCGATAAACGGTACCGGATGATCAGAATTGGGCAAATCTGAGAATCAAAATGGCCGTC